GAGCAAATATATGGTCCATCTGCCCTAGTGTGCATTCTTTCTGTACTAATACCAGTACCATTACTTGAGTTGAAATTCAGTTTCCGGCCCCATAGTAATGGATTTAAAACCTCTAGTCTCAGATGATGAAGGCTAAATAAGTCACTACTGATGTGCAGTGGATTTTGATAAATCACTTGCAGAGTGTATTTGTCTCTTTCAGTGAGTACGATAATAGTATGAGTTCTCAGTATGAATGGTTCAGGATTAATGCAAGTTACAGTAACTATGAGTAATTTTTTAAGGAGGATTTTGCAATGTTTGCTTAGTTTTTAACCCATTGCATCTGCCGCAGTGATTTTCTTATATACACAGACTCTAAGTAGGTCTTGGAAACGATAAATATATATATATAGCTCAATCATAGATGAAGATTGTAAAGCAGGGTGTAATTGAGATGTGTTTTCCTGGGTTGTGACATTGTGTAGTCTTAGAGGTGGATACCAGTGTTTCAGAGGGACATGCCTGCATTTTCAGGGACAAAATGTACTTGGACATGCAACCCAGAGAACCACAATTTCAACGCTCATCACTGTGAAAACCCCAAAACTTATATAAGTAATTGTAAATTACATATTTTTACTACTATAACTTAATTTGTGTGAGATCAGCATTCTGTCCTTGCAAATAGTTAAGGAAAGATATTGATTTATGGATGTTATTGACATTTACTGTTCTCTACACCTATTTTCTTTGAAATGTATTTCATAACTATTTTCTATCCCTATACAATAATTATTCACGTTTGCCTTCTGTTGCAACGGTTGTTATTTATGTCAGATGTTGACAATATCTTTATATTACTAAAATTTAGTTTTATAACAACAAATTAATATCTTGAAACTTGAACATTTTGTTTATCATACAGGTTGTTTATGAAATTAATACAGATTTTAAGAATGGTTTTAAACATGCATGAACTGTCATTTTGAGTGTTTTACTGAGACAATTTCAAATGAATGCTGTTAGACATAATGAAGAAGTTGAACATAATGTAAAAAGAGAATGTTTATTTGTAAATATAATCTAATCGACACTAGCCATGGAGATCAGAGTGGGTTGTAATTTATAATTTGTTAGGTTATATTCATACTGGGAATATTGTTTAGAATGCTATGGCACACACATTCTACTATTATTGTTAATATTATTTGTAATTAGTCATTACATTTAACAGATAGCTATTACAAATAATGTAATAATGTTAATGGATTTATGAACATGAGAATTTGTTACTAGACAGTGATACATAGAAATCAAAAGTGTATCTCTATTGAAAGTTCTAATTCGCAATATATTTTAATTTTAATAAAGATGTTTGTATATGCTTTGAACACTCCTAATGTTTAATTTTTATAAATAAATCAGGAGATGCTGTAAATTAATCTCAATTATAATACATTATTCTTCACAAAGAAAACATAATTTGTCTTATTACTCTCTACATATGTTTTTGTGTTGAAGTTCCATAAAATACAGGTATCAACATGGGAGTGGTGTTTGATTTATTGTAAAAAATACACCTCAGAGAAACCTATTTAATTTTGTCCTGTGTAAGGATGAATTGCCAAAGATTACATATAAGAAGCAAACAGAAATGCTTCTGACTTGCATTCTGGAGATGCTCAGTCAAATCTTGGCTGGAACACTGGCTATAGTGACTGAGGTTTCTTGGTGTTTTCCTCGGTCCCCCCTATGCAAATGACTGGATAGTACCCGAATTAGACCATGACTGCTTATCTCTCATCCTGAAATTCAGTAACACGTCTAGCTGCTGACAGTGGTATAAAATAACACACATAAACAAAATCCTAATTATAGACCTTAAGTTGAAGAGCAAGTGGAAAACTACAGAGGTAATGAAGGGAGAATTCTGGGGTTGGTAGATGAAAAGGAGCAGCACTGAAGCTTTGAAGTGTGAAGGTCCTGTAAATAATGTTTCAGAATTCAGTTCGTACTTCCCAGAAAATAAATTGCGTCTCCGGTGCAAACACCAATCAGTGAATACCGTTTAGGGAAGTCATCACTGTTTGTTGTGAGAATCACTTGAAACTGTAAATAAGCTGTGTGGGCAAAATGCAGATTCCTTTAGTGTGAAGCATTTGGTTCATGTAGCAATCTATGTGTTTTAAGTAGTTAAAAAAGCTAACAAGGTGGTTAGAATTGTTACATTATGTATACGTTTACCCCCTCGGTGTCCCCACCTTATTGTGGTAAGGGCGTTTGAGTATGCCAAGGACCCTGAGAGCTATACCAGCGGTAGCGTAGCTACTGGCAGGGCCTCCCTTGCTGGACGGGTCAAAGGGTAGGCATCAGACGAAGAGGGACATCAAAATCCAAAAACTGATGCCAGAAGCAGCGTCATAAGCAGTGACTTGAAGCACAGAGCAAATGATGCTCGAGATGGTTCAAGTTCATATAGTAACAGGCATGACCAGAGAGGTTTGAACGGCTGTTGTACTGCGATGTGGAAAGCAAATGGAAAAACTACCACATTATCACTTTTCCTGGATAGTCTCTTTCCAAAAACAGAGATACCATGTATGCGAGATGTTTCCTCTGGAGAGAAAACAAACCGGAGGGGCGGATAGAAGTGACCAGAAGATGAGGAAGAAGACGTAAGAAGATGCTGGATGATTTTCAGGATAGAAGAGGATATTTTTATTTGAAGGAGAAAGCTTGTGATCACATTAAGTGGAGGAACTGTTTTGGAAGAGACTGTGGACCTGTTGTCTGACAGATTACTGATGAATGAATATATACGTTTAGTGTTGTCTGTGTTCATGCTATGTAAGAAAGAAGTGACACAAGAAACAAGAGCCCTGG